CTCCATCTGTTTTAAAGATTCTTCTGTTTTTTTCATATATACACATATGTTGAAATTTTGCAAAATTTGTATCAGCGAACGAGTGTCTTCGAACGTTAGCCAGAAAACACGGTGTACGGGCATACTCTCTCGTGTAATATTGATTCGTTGGAGACGAGGTCGCAGGTGAGACTTCCCACGATCGTTGGCCACCGCCGCGGCGAGCCAAACGTCACGGATTTGTCTGGAGATGAACGACTATAACTATTCTATGCGAAACAATAACTGCAACTTGATTCATTAAAATTCTGCGAAATTAGTATGAAAAAGAAATTACAGTTCGTGCTTAAGATAATTAAAGTAAATGTTTGACTCAATAATTAGAATATGACGAATAAAAACAAACGCAGAATAAATAGATACGGCAGAACAGAATGAATAATAAATAAAATGAAGAGTACTTGTTATTAGGAAACACGAATGTTGGATGATCGACGATGCTGGCTGTTCGTTTTAGTCTTCTTTTATTACATGCTTCCGTATGCACAGTTACATTACAAAATCGTATCGCACATTGATTTACATCCCTGGATTCGGAACCGACCCATGCGACTCCGTGACAACGTTTCTACGTCTTTAATAATCGATGATGTTCCATTTTTTTGGAAACGTCGCCTCTTGTTCAGAGTGACTCGCCCTTAGAAGCAGGCCGTCGTCAAATTTTTTTTTACCAGATGTAAATACAAAAGTTTCGGCCAACGATCTCGATTAACTGAGCCTTTCAAGTCAACGATTCTTTTACAATAAATAAAATCACTGACAGATAATGTCTCTGAGAAGAGGACGAGGCGATTTACGTTGAACACATAATGAAAAAAAATTAATCAGCCTTTTGTCACACGTTAAAAAATTTCGTCCTTCTTTTTTTGTATGGAAACACATATGGCATTTCTCTTTGCTTATAGATAATAGAGACGCACGGAGGGCGATCCGAAGAGGCATGATCGACTCGCAATTAGCTGCTCGTTTTGAAAATATACAAAAGACCAGAAGAATCAGCGGTCTTCGAAATGCCCACACGTTCTCTTTTTACACGATTAACTAACGACTCTTGTTTAAATCGCAGGCAGTTTGTTACTGTCCCGTCGGCAGTTATAGTCGAAAAACTGAAATTATTTTACAGCGAGTTGCTTGTTTCTGTTCGTTCGTCCAGAGACCCTACACAAACAGCTAACTCTCGTAGAAAAATGAAAACACGCTTCACAAACGGCGCCGAGTTCGGTTCACTTGCATACATCACTTATTATTTTTCTTTTTCAATTACATTAGAAATGTTTAACAGACGATCTCGAGTATCAAAAAATGCTACAGTACGGTCTGTGCCAATATTTCGGCCAATCAAACCATTGCTGATGTTTCAAATGAAAATCATTAAGATTTATTTTTGTCATTCCAGTGCGCTCGAGCAGTTTCGTATTTTCCTTCACTTCCAATAAATACGTTTAGCTCAGTTTAGAAACCATGAGCATAATGTTCTACGTATAATTCTATCCTAAACGCGTCACTTTTGAGTACATAAATACATATGTATCAAAACTTTACACTTAAACTACAAGCGAATAGAAAGTCCTAATGAACAGAGTCACATTGGGTTTATACGAAACGAACTGTGTGATTACTCTGTCCGATTTAACGCAAACTCGAGAGTTTGTCGAAATTCGATATAAATCCAATGCAGCCCGGGCTTTGGTCAAATTAAAATTCAATTTCAGACAGTCGATCCGCAGTGGATTAGGAACACAATAAATCATTTGTACACGAACAGAAAATAAACGAGAGCATGGAAAAGTCCGAAATTGGTAATTCCCGAACGGGGCTTGTCAATGATTCGATTGCAAAAATTTGGCACGGTGTCTGTGTAAAAATATTCATCAACTGCTATACTATTTTCTTTTTTTTTTTTTGTTTGTTTGAACACCTCTCACGCGCTTTTCTGCCTCGCTTATCGTACCGTAATTTTCATCTTAAAACGTACAGTGATCACTACAATCAGACAATAAACGCGCTTCCAACGGAGTTTTAGAAAAATCGTCGATATTTCTTTCACGTTCTTCAATGTTCCCTGAGCGGTGTCGAGCCATACCAGTACTTACGTCTTACTCGCGTTTATTGTACAAGCCTGAAAGGTTCCCTCGGTTCCCTCTTAAACAAACTCGTTCTTTTAAAAATAATACTTTCGAATGTAGAACACAAGACGGTAACACTTCAGCTAAAGAATTTACAAAGGAAACAGTACAAGAACGAACCCTTATTAGCTGAGCGTTGATGAAAGAAATGTACAATTATCTAAGACGAATGATAGAAGCTTGAAACTTAACCGGCGAAAACTTTCATGAATATTCCTTGCACAAATGCAGCTCAAGCAAGAATCGCCTGATCATAATTTTTGATTACGTCAAATTCGCATGAAATAAGAAGAAAAAAAAAGAAACGAGTGCCACTACCTAAAAGGAGGTAATGCACGATCGCAAATGAACCTCGCACGTTGAAAACGAAGCGCGCTCGTTAACATCCCACGACCACATCCTCGAAAAGTGAAAACGAAAATGTAAAAACAATAATAGAACGAAGTATAATCCTCAGACCCGTCTCACGGCAGTTTCTCTTGGTGGAAGGCAGTGCTCGAGTTACATGTCTAAGTAGGTTTTACGTTTAATCTGATCGTGAAACGGGTCGATCACAAGACGTTTGAAACTTAACCGAAACTAGCCATTCCGTTGCGATAAGTAGTGCGCTAAAGGGAATTAACAGAGTCACGATGTCAAATGAAACAAACAACAATCCTCTTGCCAATTATCGTCAATCCCTGATCTCAAATTAAGAGACACCTGACTTCGTCGTTTCCCTTTTCTCCCTTTTATCGTGAAATGTACACCTAGTCCGTAATTATTATTGCTATTCATCGCGATAGATTAACTTACAGTCTAAAATTTGTACATCTGCGGATTTTTCGCCGTTCTTCACGTTGGAAAGATTGTCTCAGACGTGCTCGATGACGTGCGACACAAACGGAAAACAAATATCTACGTACTTTCTACGATTGCTCGCTCGTTCGTTCGAACATTCAAGGCCTCCATTTGTCAAATCGAATGTAGAAAAATTTTCGGCATAGAAATGTAGAAACGTACAAACGAAGGTTTGTATATCGGTAAATGCAAACGTATGAAAAACGAAGCACGAGAGGACTTTCCTATTACGAATTTCGTTTTTGTCTTAAGAACGGTAGCACGCCTCGGTCGGCGACGATGTCCCACCGCGTCTGCTGTCCGAGGACGCAGCGCGTTCTTCGTTGCTTTCCACCTATCTTCAGCTAGGCTTCCCAGACGGTCCGTGGCTGGGTGGAGAAGGTCCATGTGAGTGAAGATTATGAACATTACCTACTTGACTACTAGCCAGACTGGACACTGCCGGTTGGTACATCGAAGGCATATAACTACTCGACGATTGTGGAACTGACCTGGAACACATCAAACTTCCAATTGAAGTTCGGTAACGAAACTAACACAGCGGGGTCATTCATTCCATGGCCATTCCACCATTCATTTCATATTCATCCTCTTCTGTTTCATACGAATTTTGAACAAACATTTGCAATAAAAAGCATTGCAAATAAAAAAAAAAAAAGAACTGGCGCTCAAAGCAGCCGAGTTTTAATTCACTTTCAATTTAAAGCATTCAAAAGATAGTCTCCGAGACTGAGGACGTCGGCCAAATACCTTGGTACTCCGCGCAGAGGATCTGGTGTAACGGACGAGTTCCTGACCACACCAGAGTTGCTGACCGGTGCCGAGGATACCAGGCTGCTGGGCTGGCCCTGGTGGTACGCGCTTCCAGCCGGGCTGTGTCTGTTCACAATGATGGCATAGAGAACAAAACTTACAGTACCTGTATCGATGAAATCAGACCTCGGAAAGACACGTTACCTGATGGTTGGGCTTGGCTGAGGCGCGACCAGAGATGTTCTATGCTGGTACTGGGAGAGCGATGCCGCGGCTGGAGGAGACGGGTCCGGAGGCAGGCCATTCTCCAACGTCGAGGGATGATTGCTGGACCCCGAATGAGACATGTAAGTGTTGTTCACTCGAGGCTCCCGAGTTACCCGTGGAACGGGCGCCGCTGCACCCGGTGGAACGTCTGGATGCGGTACGTTGGGATGCGATGGGTTTACTGTCGGATGTATATTGTTCACTGTGACATATAAAACGGAGATTGAATGTAGTTAACTTATTTCTTGTATTCTGAATGATTTTTAATCAATTCTATATAGAAATGTATAGAATTTTACCTGGATGTGCGCTAGGCTGAGTCGTCAGGGGGATCGCGAGTCTTGCATTCACAGCCAATAAGTGATCTCTCCTCTGCAGGAGACTATTTACATGTTCCTCTAGCCTAAGGTTCTCTGCCCTCAGTTGATGTAGACAGGAAAGTAATGAGGCGACTGTAAGTAAATGAATTTCGTTTCTCGCGAGACTTTTCTTCGATCAATATGACGATTAGTAAACCGACCCAGCAGAAAAGCAACAAATTTTACATTTTATCGTATCCTTTTTCATAACGTATGAATTAACAAATGATGCATGCATTGGTCCCAATTTCACCAAACCCATGCGACTGAAAGCATGTTTTTCCTTGCCGTACACTCACTGTCAAAGTGCTGGGCTTGCTCCATCAAGAACTGGCTTCCCTGCTCCCACTGCCTCTCAAGAAGTTGATCCAACGTTTGGGGTATCGCTCCACCGCCCAAACCTACCGTGCTAGTCGTATTACTCATGTTGCTGTTCGAATTGCTGTTAGTGTTGTTATTGAAGACTGAAGAAAACGACGTGGGTGGTGCTTGACTCGATCGTATCTGTCCACGAAAACATCGAAACATCACGATCTCCGAGGTATAGTCGCGGTCCTTAATTATTTCCGAAGATACTTACGGATGCGATTACTCGACTGTGCAGCTGGGGACCAACTAAACTCGTAGTGGAATTACTAGCCTCGGTGAATATAGAATGCGCTTCCAGCTCTTGGGAGAGAGTGTCGGACATCTTCTGTGCCATCGTCGAGGTGGGGTTCAGCTGGTTTCCTAGCATGTGAGGCGCGCTAACTCCGTTCTGGAATCTAATGAGAGACCGAGATTTTAAACTGTAAGATATAACATGATCAGTGTGCAATTTCTGTTAATTACAATTTGATATCCTTCTCTTCTTTCGGATTGGCTAAAGTCGGAGTGCTGGACGCAGGAGGTGTCGGTGCAGCACTGGTATTTTTTCTTTTCCTTCGTACTGGTCCAGTGCTGCTCATGCTTTCTGAACCAGGGCTACTAGGAGGCGACTCCTTTACGGTGGGTCCCATTGTATTCATAGAAGCAGAACCAGAACCAGAAGCAATAGAACCAGAACCGATATTGCTAAAGTGACCACCGCTCAGTGGAGGTCCCTGAATAATGGATGACACGGGCGTAACAGAAATAGCTGGTGGAGGAGTTTGATGATTATTTCGTCCTCCACGTTTCGAAGCCACTACCGAGCTATTGGACACGGACGTCACCATGGAAGAAGCTGGTTGAGAATGCTGTGATTGAGCATGTATCGCTACTTGTTGTTGCAATGCTGGCTGACTATTAGATGATCCGCGTTTCGGTTTGCGAGACTTCTCTTGCTTATCTGACGACTGAGAGCTAAGAGACCAACAGAACGATTTCGTACATATATAAAAATGTATCGGACAAGTCTTTCTCGATCATCCGAAAGCTGTAAAATTAACATTTTTATAACACAAAATACGAAACGGACCGTTACGACATTTAAAAGTTCACGTTACTCCTTGCCTTCGTTCGTTGCCCTTGAGGCCCCTTGGGCCAGAAAAAGAAAACATAACCTCGAGTTGTCCTTAGTCGCTGCAGATGATTCAAAGAGAAACGAGAAAACGGCACTTCCACAAAAATCTCGTACCGTCCAACATTATTTCTCGATTTCATTCACGATTAAGCGAAAGATAAGACGTTTTCCATGTTCGCGAGGTTCGTAATGTTACATCGAACTATCGTAGTCTATTTCAACGACACGGAACCGACACACTAGCATCCTGAGGTAACGAAACTTCTCGAAACGTGGCAAACTCACAAAAAACGATATTCTCGCGTTACAATATCTTTTTTTATAAAACACGAGGAAAGGTTAAAAACAAAGGGGCTTGTTTATCCAACGGGCCCGCCATTTTAGCGCCTCACGTTTTGGCGTGAAATTCAAATCAACGCGTGTTTCCCGGTAACTACATTGTCACGTGTAATTTAATATAACTTCGAATAGATAACTATTCCAATGTCGAAGATAACATAATCTTAATTAATTCCTCTCTTTAATTAATTCCTCTCTATTATTAATACGTCTACTCTATTATTCGAGAGTCTTTAAATAATCAATTAGCAAAAAAATTGAAAAGCAAAAGGGGATTTTATTATAATTTTAATTAGAACTTACCGAGACCGCTTCGCAGGAGCTTCTTCCGCGGTGGTGAATCTCTCCGAAGTCGGCGTGATACTCGACCTGGGCTGCGTCGTGGCCGCGGTGGTTATGATACTCTGCTGCAGCTGTTGATAAAGCGTCGGAGCACTGGTCACCACGCTCTGAGACGTGTTCGGCAACGAAGTCGCGGTCAACGGAACAGACACGACGATGCTGTTCGACGTGGTCGTCGGCGATTGTGTAACCATCGACTGCGACTGTGTCATCGACATTATCACAGGTGCGGTAGTCGTTTCGCTGCTTACCGGAGTAGTCGGCGACGACTGAACAGGACTCTCGACCTTCAACTTAGAAGTAATTGAAACAATCAATACGAATTAAAATACGTAAATGATTTCTCGTAGCACGTTTTACTTACCTTCTTGGTTTTCTCCGGTTCGGCAGTCGCGGTCAGACTCGTGGCTTCCATGATGGTCGCCTGCGCGTTGTTGCTCGTCGCAGATTGCTGGACCATGGAACTGACGGCGACAGCCACGAGGGAGCCGCTCGCTTCGGAACTGACCGACTGGTTCGAGTTCTCGTTACCGATCACCGTTGGCGTTCGCGCCCCGGTCTTTCTCTTTTTATTGTGGCTCGACGTCTTGTTCGACGCCGAATTCGATTTCGTTTGACCGCTGCCTTTATGACCGGAGCTAGAATTCGAGCCGGTTTTAGCAGCGACAGCTGGAACCGTGGCGGTCGTCGACGCCGTGGTGCCGTCGTGCCCGAACACGCTCTCCGATTGGGTGACGATCGTTTCTACGAAGTTGGAAGTGGTGAATTTACTGGAGTTCGTTGCACTCTCTTTGGGTGTATTACGGCCGCTACTGCTTTTCTCATCAGCAACGCCATTTATTTCTAGACTCGGACTAGTATTCGATTTGTTTTTAGAATTTGTAGCAGATTTCGAACCAGAACTCTTTCGTTTACCACTTGACGATGATTTAATCGGGGTCTCTGCTTCCTTTTCAGGAGACGAATCTGACGAGCCATTGTCAGCCGGTATTGGCTTGTAAGGTGGTATAGTTTTCACGTTACCACCTTTTTTCTGTAGATTAAACGAGACAAAATTCTTTACTGAAACCAATCGACACTTTTCCGTCGCTTTCTTTTATATTTTAATCACGCGGAATCGGAATCACGTACCAATTTCGAGTAGTGATGCTGACAATATCCACAGTATTTCACGTTATCTAGATAATTGCCAGCCTCCTCACAGAGCAATCCAAGAGCCTGAGCGCAAGTAACATGAAATTGCTGCCTGCAGCCAGTCTTGTTACACTGCATACAGGCTCCCACGTTTGCTCTGCTACCCCTTCCTTGTTCCTCACATATGTAACAAGACTATAACGATACCAATGATTAAACATGCATCGAAAACAGCATATAATCGATTGCTAGTCAGTTATTTACCTTACTAAATCTTTCCGATGGGATCAATTGCAAAATAATAGGTTCCATCGTCGTCACATTACCAAATCTGACTTCTGGTATGTAGAGTGCACAGACAACGTGTGCCCATCCAGCCTGGTCTGTTCTCTTAAGAGCTCCATCCCGGCTCGGGCATAACTCGCAGCGCTGTTAAATAACTTTGTCGTTATTTCTAAACGAAATCACCGCGTAAAGAAACTTACCACGCGGGCACTACGTTCCTGCGACTCGCACTTCCTGCAGTACCATGGTCCAGTGGGTACCGTGACAATTCCATAACAAGCTACAAAGTCATGAGGTGTCACGATAGTAACGAACACGATATCGTAGGTCGGCTTACCTTGATGTACAGCAACGGTGCAACCCTGTCCGTCGCAATACACCAGCGGATTCTCGGTCCAACCCCTCTCATCAGAACACACGCAGCACCCTCCAAGCATCTCCTTCATGCTGTGCTCCAAGCAATTCGAGAGACGAGACTAGCATGAGGAGCTAGGCGAGCCGCAGGCGAAGTCGTGGCGCGGGGCAACTTCGCTCTCGCAATTGCATCCTGGCGACATGTGGCTCGTTCTCGGTTTCTTCGTATACCCTCGCCGTCCGTGGACACAATCGCGTGCACGCGCGTGACGCATTCAACGGAATACCGTGGCTCGGACTGCACGTTGTCGCTCGTCCAGACTCGTGACCACGTAACACCCGCACAAAAGCGCAACGCGCCCGCCGTTAACTCGACGCTATCACGCAACGAAACGTGCTCTCACGGTTTGTTATTTACAACGTCGCTTTATTTGTTTCGTTGTTCGGCCATCTTATTTTGTTGTCGCGCCTGGCCTGCGCGCGCGCATTCTTCGGACTCCTGCCGCGAAAATGCAGGCGTATTCGAAAATCAGACGTCACGACTACACATGTATCGCCCTACTCTCGTTTCTGATTCTGACATGCAGTTGCCTCTGATAACTCATCTATTAATAGCGATAAACAGAAGTACCGATTCCATGAAATGGAGGCGATCAAAGATGATCTGTGCACGTTCGAATGGGCCAGCGACGCCCATTTATCAGAGATCGTGGCGTTTCTACACGAAAATTTCGACAAGGAGGAGACTATGTTAAAGAGTCTGAGAGACAACAACGCACTGACTCCTGAGCAAGAGGAATCGATGAGGATTGATCATGAAAGATTGATACGAGCAATTTTCGCTTTCTCACCTTGCGTTATAGCCATTGAAAAATCATCGAACAAGATCATCGGCGTAAATCTTATGATAGTTAGCAAGAATCCAAAATTTCATGGCGATGCCGACGGTGTTTCAGCGGCGTTTACTAATAATCCTCCCACGAATGAATTGATGAAGCGATATTTCGATTACCTGTCGGAGATCAGCGAAAGAGTCGATCTCTATCGAAAGTTTCCGGAGTCGAGAGCGGCCGTTGAATTTTACGCGGTTGCCGTGGACAAAGGCTACCGCGGAATGGGGCTCGCTACCAAACTGATGGACGCCGGAATTTCCTTCGCGAAAACTGTCCAAGATGCTGGATTCATATTCGGAGTTTACACGTCTCTGTACTCGAAACGTGCAGCAGCCAAACTCGGTTTGAAAACAATCATGGACGTCGATCTTTTGAATTACAGGGATGACGAGGGATCTCCTATTTTTCAGGACACCCCGCCGCATAATATCGTGTCCGTCATGGCTTTGTCAATCAATTAAAACGTTCATAATAAATATATGATGAAACAGAATTCGGAATTCGAATCCCACGTATTTTCCAATTAGATTAGAGAATGAAAATCCCGAGTACAGTGAAATTAGGTGATTATATAGATTAGATTAGGTTGTCCGGTTCACGTATGGTAACGCGGTTACAGAGGTTCCTTGTCACGAAGGTGCTCCGCCAATGCAGCGTTAAATCGTCCCACACGACGATAATGCCGAAAAGATCGCTTCAAAATCCTCCGGAGAAGAAATTGAAACCGAATCAGGCCTCGACTAACGCGATCAACAGTTCCGATTTCTCTACTACTCATAACCTCGAGAGGGACAGCATGGTCGTTAATACTAAGAATGCTAAAAGCCAAGCAACCGTGGATTGCAAATGCAGGACGGAGCAGGACAGCACCGGACGACGAACGGGCGTTAGTTATCTAGATACACCTGTTAAATCGGAGACTGATAAGAAGGAGTACAGGTAACAGGATGACAGATGTACTGGCACTATTCAAAAGAACTTCTTGTAATTTAACTCTGATTCTTATTCATTTAAGAGTGATTCAGCTAGAGAACGGGCTGACCGCTTTGTTGATCTCAGATCAATCCAATTTAGTAAACCAAGAAGATTTGCTCAGTGACAAAGGTAAGGAATGGGAGACTTTGTTTACCTATTTTCCCAATCAGTTTTGATCTAATCATTATCTTTGACAATCCATGAAAGTACATGTGTTCATTATTCAGATGATGGAATCAGCAGTGAGAGTGAAAGTGAAGCTAGTGGTGAGAGCGAAGAAGAGGTCTCCGGTGAAAGTAGCGATGGGAGTGACTCGGAAGATGGTGAAGATTGTGTACCCGAGAAATCAACTAAAAGAGAAGAAAAAATGGTACGTTTAGCGTCTAATCGCATCAATGAATCGTTGATTTAAAATTCACGGCGTTTCATTTTTTTATAGGCAGCATGTGCATTATCAGTTGGCGTGGGAAGCTTCAGCGATCCGCCAGAGATTCCTGGTTTGGCGCATTTTTTAGAGCATATGGTCTTCATGGGATCCGAGAAGTACACCGAGGTGCTTATTTAAATGATCACGAAAACTTTGAATTGTATTGCTCACTTTGTCGATTTATAGGAGAACGACTTCGACGCGTTTATTAAAAAGAAAGGCGGTATGGACAATGCCTCGACCGAATGCGAGTTGACGACGTTCTATTTCGAGATTCAGGAGAAGTATCTGCTCGCCGCCCTTCACCGTTTCGCTCAATTTTTCATCACACCGTTGATGAAAAAGGACGCGATCACGAGGGAGCGCGAGGCCGTGGAAAGTGGTGCGTTTCCACAAAACAGATATTTTTTATACCCAACTGGAATATGACATTTGATTACGATTCGTACAGAGTTCCAGATGGCTTTACCCTCGGACTCTTGTAGAAAAGACCAACTGTTTTGTAGCTTAGCGCGAGAGAATCATCCGGCGAGCAAGTTCAGCTGGGGTAATTTAATTACATTGCGAGACAACGTGGTGGACGATAAACTCTACGAGGAGTTGCACAAATTCAGGGAACGACACTACAGCGCTCACAGAATGAAACTAGCTATACAAGTCCGTTTCTTGATTCGTAGAATTTGTTTTGTTCTCAAATGTACCGCGATATACTAATTTGGAAATACTTTACAGGCCAGACTACCACTGGAGGTGTTAGAAAACTATGTAAAAAAATGCTTCTCGGAGGTGCCGAACAATGACTTGCCACCCGACGATTTTAGTCGGTTCATAGGCGCGGATTCGTTTGACACGCCTAATTTTCATAAAATGTACAGAATTAAGCCCGTGAAAGACATTTGCCAAGTACGTTCCTTGTTCCTAGACGATGAAACAATCGAACACTGATTTCGGTTCGTTCGCAGGTGGATTTGACGTGGTCGATGCCGCCCCTACTTCATTTGTACAAAAGCAAACCGCACGAGTATATAGCATGGATCATCGAGTATCAGGGCAAGGGTTCTTTGATCAGTTATCTGAAAAGCAAGATGTGGTGTCTAGAGATATCTTGTAGGAGCGAGGAGAGCAGCTTCGAATACAGTTCGCTGTACGCATTGTTCACTTTGTCTTTAACTTTGACCGAGCAGGGACACGAGAATCTGCCGGATGTTTTAAACGCTGTATTCTCGTTCATTAATCTAGCGCGCAGAGAAGGTCCGCAAAAACGAATCTACGATGAGATCCACCAGATCAAAGAAACGAATTTTAGGTAAATCGAAGAAGTAATGATAATCGATGAAAAAGATGAAAATAAGTATCTCTCTTGCAGATTTACAGAGGAAAGTCTGCCGGTCGAGTACGTGGAAGAGCTCTGCGAGAACATGCACTATTACCCTCCGATAGATTACATAACTGGAAGCGAATTGCATTTTGAGTACAATCCAGAAGCCATAGAGGATTGCATGAGTTATTTAACACCCGAACGCGTGAACATAATTGTATCTAATAAGAAGTACAACGAGGAGGAATTGGATAAGGTGGAGCCTTGGTTCAAGACGAAATACGCCGCCGCGGAGATTCCTCCGGAGTCCGTCGAGAACTGGAAGGACATCGAACCGTACGAGGAATTTCACTTGCCACTGCCGAACCCGTTTTTAACCGACGATTCTACTTTAATCGCGATGCCAGCGGACGTGCCTAAGTACCCGACGAAAGTGTTTTCAGACGATATCATGGAGGTTTGGTATCGACCCGATCCAAAATTTGGCCTGCCCGACTGTTACATGCTCTTTTTCCTCACGACACCGTTAGCCTGTTCGCTAAAGAGGTAAAGCTTTGAAGGAAGCAAAATTATTGCTATTAATCCTATTTAGAATCTGCAGAAAACGAACGATTCGAATTTCAGTGCAGTTCTGACGGATCTGTTTGTTGTCGTATTGAAGTACCTTTTGGAGGAGACACTGTATCCAGCCCTGGTGGCTGAACTGCATCATGAGATCGATACGACGGAGAAAGGTATTATAATTAACGTGAACGGATTCAATCAGAAGCTACCGGTAAGGATTTCTAATTACTTTCATATAATTCTTTACTACCCCTTATCATTATTTTTTTTTTCATTCATAGCTGGTATTGATGAACGTTGCGAAATGCCTGAAAGAGATCCCGGCGTTAATAACCGAGGAACTGTTTGACGTATTAAAGCACGCGCAGATTAAGAGATATTATAATGACTTCGTAAAACCTAAGCATTTGATTCGGTAGGTAACTTTTATTCGACTAAACAGAAATGAATTGTACCATAAACTTTGAATAATTTCAGACACGTCAGACTCTCGATCCTGATGCTTACTCACTGGACGTCCGTGGACAAGCACTCCGCGATCCAGAGCATCGACTTCCACGAATTCCTGAACTTCGCAAAACATCTACCCGATCACTTGTACGTGAAGTCTTTGATACAAGGCAACATGACGGAGGAGGACGCGATAAAGAACGCGCGAGAGTTCGTCAGCACGTTGGGGTGCGGGCCATTGTTACCTAACACGATGCCGGAGATACGAGTGATGCAGATTCCTATTGGCAAGCACTACTGCAAAGTGAAGAACTTCAACAGTACGGACGTGAACTCTGTCATTACGAATTACTATCAGGTCGGCATTTCGTCCATCAAATTGTTGGTCATCATCGAATTGCTAATGGTAGGTTTACATTTTTTATTAATCGAAATTGAGAAGCTTTAATAATAGTATCCTCGTTAATTTGTTCTCAGATGATCATGGAGGAGCCTCTGTTCAATCAGCTGAGAACCCAGGAGCAGCTCGGCTACGTCGTCTTCTGTACGCAGAGATACACGCTTGGCATCCTGGGATACACGATCACGGTCTACACCCAAGCCGATAAGTACACCACAGAGCACGTGGACAACAGGATAGATTCCTTTCTTGAGACGTTCAATAATACTCTAAAAGAGATGTTAGAGAAGGAGTTGAATGACATCAAGGATTCATTGATCAGGATGAAATTGTGCGCGGACGTTGATTTGAAGGAGGAAGTGGACAGAAACTGGGAAGAGATCACCAGCGGCGATTATATGTTCGATAGAATTGAAAATGAGTTGGCCGTGATCAAGTCTATCAAGATCGACGAGCTTAGGGAATGGATGAACGTTCACATGATCGATGGAAACAGTTTGAGGCAACTCAGCGTGCATGTTGTAGGAACTGCTAAATCTGACGACAAAGGCGATAACGGAGATGTCGAAGAGACATCAGAGTGTCTGAGTAAGTCGATTCTTCTTTTAAACTCTGCAATGATTAATTGATGATAAAACAATTTTTTAATATCGATGATCCTTCTTGCAGTCAGTTGTTGTCCGAAGAAAGAAGACAGTGGAAATGCGAAATACACAATGATGTATGTTGCCAAACCGGAGGACAGCGAAGGAGCTTCGACGAGCATCACCAACATCCAAGAGTACAAAAATAGATTATTCTGTTATCCGGTCGTTCACACCACACTGTGATACTAAATTCTAAAACCCGTAATATATAAAATAAAATTGTCTAACAGAGAAATAAAGATGCAACATCGAGGCCATTTCTTCATTTTCTTTCCGGTACCTGAAAAATGCTTAAAACCAGTTTAGTACGATTGACGTAATAGTCTTGAATTGTAAGAATTACTCTCTTATCTTTTTTTTATAGTTCTTTTAATTGTATTCAAGACATGACAACACGTTTCAATAAATCATTATTAAACTTCCGAAAATGTCAGCCAACCATCATCGAGAATCTCTCACACGAACAGCTTTCCTTTTTACAAATACTTCTGACCGTAAAGTTTGTTTCCTTTAGTTTTCGTTTCGAACCGTGCAGTTTAATCTGCGTTTGCAATTTCTTTTTCTATTCCTCAACTCAACAGAGAAATCTCTATGAACCATTTAACCGACCATTCTCTCTCATCATCCTCTTTTCCTCTTCTGTCAACCCCCGTATCTACTTTGCATGTGTGTCGTGTAATTGCATTTTATACAAGAAAAAACGAAGGTAAATATATTCATATATTTTTTTTCTTCTCGGTAAAAGAAACAAACTTAATCGTATCTGTCGTTGGAGAAACTTCTCTGCTCGATCTCGAACAAAATCGATTTCGTTTCCCAATATATGTGATCCGTTTTAAATTCGCAGTTCCTCAGAAGAAAGAAAGAAAAATCGTTCAGCCGGCAGAGCAGTTTGTGGCCCAAGGGACAGATTTACAGAGAGGACGAAAAAGAAAAAATTATATGTCGATGCAATTTGAATACTCTAAAGTTCGTTACAACATCCATTAAAAGTGCATTTTGCATTTAATATTTCGAATAATTATTTGAATATACTGGTAGTTTTTTTCGCTTCGTAGTTATTATAGAGTTTGCCACTACATGTATTACAATGATTACCTCCTACTTTTTTTCCAAATACGTATTTCCGCTTTAAGAGTACTTTAAATGTGACTTTTTTTTCTTAGCTTTATAATAATTTTTTTCATCGTTTGCCTCGTGTTTTCGCCAGCACTGATTCTCATTGTTTAACGGATTTTCAATCATGATTTCTCGCACGCCTGTTCCTAAATCATTCGACAACGTGAACAACTATTCTTTAATTAAATTTCCGCGCTCTGCTCTCTTCCCTTTATTCATTTATTTACTTATTTAAGAAACGTGTACTTTTCTCCGGTTTTCCAACTATAGCAAAAGCATATAGAATCAGCTCTGCTTGACACTAGACATGAATGGGGTAATATGTTACAACAGTAAGTTTACAAGATAGAATAATCCAACAAGAATACATCGATGTGATCTGTGTGTGTGTTACAAGAGAAATGCAAATAAACATTTGAACGGGTCGGTTTGGCGAGACATCAGATCGCTTGTACTTTACTTTTGATCGTTACATAGAATTTTCAACGCTTTTCGACCAACAGTTTGAAATACAGGTACGCTACTCTTTATAATTGTTTCTATTGTCTAAATAAACGTAGAGGCACCAACCGACCCGGGCTGAAAACGATCATCGACGAACTTTAGCGTGTGTACTGCCCCTTGGGAAAGGGCTCTTCATTAACAAGATAAGACGATGAATTAAAAATTGCTGTGTACTTTCTTCTACTTTTTTTACACATATAGAATTACGTTTCTCTTTAATTATTCGTAAATGCAGATAGTTCTGAATGAATTTCATAGATTCAATTATTAATCTAAAAGTTTCCAGGGGCAGCACAGTGATTCTTCGTTTCTACACACTTAGCATCCCATACACAACACACATCCAATCGACTTGTTATCTCGCGCTAGAAAAAAACAAAAAGAGAGAGTAAAACAGAAAAAAGAAAATGAAACATGGTACAACGATCGTCGAACCGTAAACGTACAATGATTTTATATACTCTCTGTGTTACGCACTTGGTATTTATTTCGTTTCCATTCATTCATATTTTTTTTATGTCTTTTTAAATCATCTCGTCTCTTACTTTGTTTTCTTTCTTGTTGCTTCTTTCCTTTAGCTATGAAAAATAATAGCAGAATATACGTTTATGTAATATTTAATAAGAATATATAAGGACGGGGCCCACATACATTTGCAGCTACATCGATAAGTGTTTCTTTGTTATTATTATTATTATTTTTTTTATTTTCATTCGTTACTTCGTCACTTTTTTTTGGATTTTTGCTTTATTAATACTTTTTGCTTATTTACTGTCTTTGCTACCGTACGTGTTTTTATTATTATTATTACGTTTTTTTTTTTTTACTTTTTAAATATATCTTGTTAATAGGGAATATGCAAGCGAAAACTATGGTAAAGAGAAACTTAAAATTTACGTTTTATTGAGCGTCCGTAGCAACTCAATAGATTATTCATATATATCATCTTCACTGCTCTGTTTTTTTTCAGTTTATCATCGACAGGGCACTCCGTGTGTGTCTGTTTCTTTTCCTGCGTTTATCTATTACAGTAAAGCGCGGCCGTACAGAAACAAAAATCAGAGGGGAAACGTCGGAACGTTTCGGTCTTTTTTTTTTTATTTTTAATGCCCATCGGTCGTAACTCTATCAGAGTGAAACAACAATGTAAACGCATTTCGTTTTATCACCTCCGCGGCAATCATTTAAAGCAATTGAAATTAAATGATTTGCTCCGTCTTTTTTCTTTTTTATACATTATACCTTTTTCATTTCTATGCGTATATACAATATGTTTGTGACTGTTTCGCGAAATCTAAGGCGTCTACTAGTAGTAAAGTGATTACGAATCAAACGAAGAACGAAAATAATTAATAGAAAAGAAATTATTAAGAATGCAAGATAAATAATCGAAGCAGCCAAGGCGTTTCGTCTGTCTATGATAATCATCGTCTCTAACACACGCTGCATCGACGATTACAGTTGTACAAGTAGTATAGTTCGCTTTAAAACAAAATACAACGATAGCAGCGATTGGCAAAAAAAGAAAAAGAGATCGAGGGAACAGTTTCACTGGAAATTGATGAGCTCGATAACGGAATATTAGTAAATCTACAGAAATAAAATATAGTCGCTTAATTTACGTTACTTTTATCATCATCAATGTTCCAGCAGCCTCGTTTAAAGCGTTCCAAGGATGCGTCTTACTTTTAACAATTAATTTTCACTGTTCGCTTCATTCTTTTTTTACCACAACGACATACAATGTTTCGAAGATCGAGTTTACAAGTGGAATTTTCATTTTCCAAATACATAAGGAAAGATTATTCGCGTGTTTTTTTTTTTCTTTTTTTTGTTCATTTTATATTCGTTCCGTGCGGGAATATTCGTCCTGTATTAAAACTCGTTTCATCGTGGGCCCCTGTTTTTCTTCGTTTCAAACTACGTTTGCTCGGTTTACAACGAAAAGGCAGGCACGGGTCTCAGGCGCGCACCTGGTCTTTTAACGCTCCTCCCTTCCCGTTTTTACATTTGCTTTTTCTTTTTATTGTTATTTATTATTCGCATCGTGGTTTCGCTTTGTTTAAATTATTTATTTATTTATTGCGTTACCTCATGTATCAGTGCAGCAGCGACTGATCGTTTTTCTGTATTTATACGTATTTGTCTTTTTTTAATATCGTTTCATTTTTTTCACATTTTGTATTCTCCGGTTTTGCGTGTACAGATTTCAAATAAATCTTAACATCGCACTCTCGATTCGGCCCTCGGCGAGAGAACGGAACCGAAGAGCGACGCGCAAATACTTTTTCAATTAACTGTACATCGGGATGATCGAATGAAAATTCATCCGTCGGTTCTGAAATCTCTTTTTGTTATATCATTTTAAGTCGTGAACGATCGGCGTACTTTATATGAATTTGTTTTCAAATTGTTCAAGAAGGATTACGCGGCGATCTTTTTGCTATATATATATAAATATATATATACGTCGATGGATATTATTATTATTATTATTATTATTACATGTTACTGTACTCGGAAAACAACGTGTGTGTGTGAGTGTGTATTGAAAATCGTCGAATGATAGCAATTTTCATCGATACGCGGTATCGCTCCCACATTAATCGTCGGAACGTACCGCGTGTTCATTTTTAATCTTCATCGCATTCTTTTTTTTTATCGAATCGCATTGGGAAAACTGTTTATTATATGCATACGCTGGCGTAGCTCGCAATCGAAGCTGACATTCAGTTTTGTTTAAATCGTTTCTAATTTTCATTCAATTATTGTTCGGTCGGCGAACGGGTCAGCATTGATTCTCTGACCGTTTCGGAGACACAGAAGAATTAACGATTTCACCTATTATTATTTTTAATATAAACCACGGATGTCAAAACATGTTCAACATACCATCGTCTTTTCTAAAGCACTTTTTCCTCCATCAAATCCCTTCCGAATCCCATCCGATCTGCTCTCGTCACTCTCTCTCTCTTTCAGGCTCAGTTTTCAACCGTCGCTCAAATTATATAAAGTTTCTCATTGTCTTAATGCATTTTCTTTGTTTTTTTTTTTTTACGCAATAACAAATCTACAAAAATATAACATTTGTATCTTATCTCTCGTTATATTATCTCGATAAATGATTTGCTCTCTCTCATTCGCTCTTCCTTTTTCTCTCTTTCTTCCACATTTTCCCGTCGCCCATTCTCTCCCTCACTTTCCCTCCCTCTCGTTCGCTCCTCGTTTTTACATTGTTTCTCCACTTGTTTTCTTTTCATTTGGACATCCTTTCCTTGCTCATCGTCGTTTCTTTTCTCCTTAAATAAATCGTGTTCCGTCGTGCTGTCTTGTTATCATCTCTTTACTTCGCCGAGTAAAGATCGACCTCCTCGACTCGATCCATCTTTGGTAGAAAGTCCTCTCGACTATTCTACGCATAAATAGTAATTCTCCTTCCCCATTTTTTAAACATGATCACCATATATAGCCGCGCGATTATCGCCGGGCCGCTCATTTATATACATCAACCTCGCGCTTTCGTCACTTCTAAAGTAACTACTTATTCGTATGTACAATAAAACGGGGGACACCGAGCGTCCTTTGGAAAATACGCCAAAGTAGGCACACGCTTTTCTGAAAAGTCCAAAACCAAAAATCGAATCGTCCATTGTCTAAAATTCATACCTGGGTCAGAAAATAATTCGTGCATACTCACAGTTCTAATACAATTATCGTTGCACGCTCTATGCCGATAGAACGTGCAACGAGAATCGTAGAGAGCGATAATCTGAAACTTAGGTAAGACTGTAATTTAATAAAACGGTATATTTTCCAAGAGACGCCGGAAGACCGCGGGAGCAACTCTTTCAGAGAACCTCGGCCCTCGTTTTTCCGTCTGACGAGAGAAATCCGAGGGCCGATTGCTCCCGCGGCGCGCAACGTGGGTCCGCGGGCACATGTCTCTTACACGCCAACTGCAACAGCAAATAAATATATCGATCGGGCCGCGTACACGCGATCCCGGGAAATCGCCCGGCGCGTGTACGCGGGCCGACACGCGTTTAACATCCCACGTTTATATACATATCTTATGTTTCTCTATATAAGAGTGCGACCGCGTTCCAGCATCGGCCCTTATCATCTCTCCAAGATAAAGTGTGCGATTCGATAAGATTTTCAGATCGGATCTATTATCGTTCCAATTAAATTTACCAACAAATTTTTTTTTAAATAGGCCACATGCTGGAACGTACATCGACACCCTCGTATTTCTCACAGTCACACGTTCGCCTCTCTCTTAACACGCATAAACAGTTCTCTCCCGCACGTTCACTCTCTCCCTCGCACGCTTGAACGTTCGCAATCTTACATATAATACGCTATTGGGAACCTCTAATCTAAATCATATATAAATATATATTTTACCTATATGAAAAGCATCAGTCTCCATTTGCTAATGACCGTCTCAGTATCCTGTTCCTATTCCTAAAAACACGGTGTCTTACAAACTATCCCAGCCATAGAGTTATCATCTGCCGTCGTTCAGTCTCGCGTCCAGTTCGCCCCGTCGATTGAAATCAATGTCCAGCACGTTACACGACCAAATTATATCTGATCAGAATACTGAGACCAGTCAACGCGAGCATTTCATATAATACCGGAAAATATATATTTTCATTGTAAAAAAAATAATCACACTTCTTAAGAATTAAATACTTATTAGCAGCTGACGACTTGTTCTTCGTTCTTAGTAAAATTAGCGCACGCATACACTAATCAGTCGAGTTTTCTCATCCTTAAACGGTGATCCGAGCGGAGTACATTTGTTTTTCTTCTTAGACTAAAAACACGCTCGCGTTTGCCACGAGCACGACTTCATTGTTTCATCTTTTTCTCTTTTTTTGTATAATTTTCTTCATATACATATATATGTGTGTGTGTATTTTTTTTTTAGTTTTCTTTAAATCGCGTTCGTTTTCGCTTTTATCTTACACACTGAGTGGTACGTTTGGCAGTGAGGACATCGTATCGTGTATGTCAGTAACATTGGGTCTCTATTATTTTCATTCATGTATCGGTATCTTTATAATATTCGTGGCCGTCTAACGACGAGCTCGTCTCCTTATATTAGTTTAATTAGAGTTTGGCCCCATCAGAGCTTTAGACATTGTTGAGTGATTCCACACGTAACATTTGAACAAGTTCCTCGTCCAAGTCTTGTGCGAGTACGTTTCCTAAGGTGCGATTCGTGACGGAACTCAAATACTCTTCTGCTCGTAAATTAAGAAACCGATCTCCCGAACAAAGAACAGCTGTAAATCTTGCGTGCGTGGAAAACATTCAAATGTCATCGGCGTATCATTACTCTTAGTATTTTTTTTTTACACACACTCGTTTTCTCCTAAGAAGATTCCTTTCTTTATTGCAGTCTTGTGTCACATCCGGGAGCGTTTAAAAGTCGTTAAAAATATGTTGTATAAATACCTAGTTCTCGGCAGCGACCGGCGCGACCAGTGACGCGTCTCCCTGCCCCTTTTCTATCCCCTTGCCGTTCTCCACGGCGTCGTCGAATTGGCCTGGTACTGGCAGTGCGTCTTTTGTTGCGTTCATCGTTGGAATCGCATCGCTAACAACACAACCAACAACAGTAATTAACAATAACCATTCACATAAGACATAGTGAATGAAATTCATCAAAATGATTAAGTACCTGTAGTCAGTGATTCCATCGACATTGTTATCCCGACCTCTATTATCTTTTTTATTTTCGTTCTCCTTGTTCTTCTTGACAGTGGTCTTCTTTTTACCAGCAGCCTGCACGATAATTTACATTTATATCTTTTTTTACGATTCTAGAAAGAATGCATGATCAGATCTTTCACCTTCATTTGCGTTTTCTTGCCGCGGCTAGCTATCGGTGCGCGGTTGTTCCCTCGGGTTTGAAACGTGGGCCGGCCCATGGGCGTGAAACCACGAGGGAGGCCATACTTCAAGCCGCCAATCGATGTCACCTGCAATTTTTATTCACAACTAAGTACGAGACGGATGCAAAATTAATAGTTTCACTCCCAAAATTGCACGACCGTGCTGTTTGATATTTTTCGACGATGCTTTATCAACGGGGTTCAAGCGGTTAACGAACTGAAGAGAATGATCGACATACTTGCGGCGGGATTCGTCCGCGAGGATGTCCCTGTAAAGGCTGAGGTAAGCGTCCAGGTTGCCCGTAATTCGGGCCCCATTGTCCGACGACAACTCCAGCGATTTCCAACTGTCCGCCGCGGGATGGTATGGGCCGTCGCATCAGCCCACGTTGTGGCATCGTTCCGCTACCTCTCCCACGCATCAGACCTTCGTTAATCGCGCAGCCGGGGGCCAAAATGTTTTGTGGCACCGACACGCGGATACCTTCAACAAATTTAATAACAACAATTAAATATTATACATGGAGAACGCATTCTCTGTCGACAGACGAAAAGATCGTGTAGCAGTTTTGAGATTCGCAGATCAAGTCTTTGTTAAAGGTCCACGAAGCAACTGAACTGCAATTCTTCTCCTTCCAATATCGAAGACACGCCATTAAATGAAAGCGTGGCGTGTTAAGGGTCTCTTGGAAGGGGATTCGAATCCTAGTTTCATGAATCTGAAGTTACCTGGACCAACAGGCGGAGTTCGCGCGAAGATCACGTTGGTACCCTCCAGAATAGCTTTCTTCATTCGTTCGACTTTCACGATGCGATCGATGTGACCGCCGCAGAGTTCCAACAGGTTCTTCGCGATCCGCGCACGAGCCAGCGTATGATGGAACAGTTTCCCATCGAAATACAACCACGGGCAGCACATCAACCACGGGATCGGTGCTCCGCAGGCGTCGTTGGCTAACAGAGCGGTCTCGACACCGGCCATGAACAACGTTGCGAGTTGCACTCCGCGTGATGTAACTAAAGCGAGCTGCAACAGTGATAAATATTTGATGTCAATAAAAAAGATTCATCGATTCATACTTTAAAATTCGATATTCTCTATATACTTGAATGCAATACACGATAATTATGCGTTTATTAAATTACCTGGAGATCTTGTAAATACTGAGCGTTCATAAGTTCCGGCGAGAATGCTTGTGCAATGAAGGCATCTAATTCCCAACGGCGTAGGATCTTAATCTTATCTGAGAAAGACATGATATACCTCAGCACGCACGCCATTACTAAAAGGTGTTGCGGTACGTAGGAGGTATTCAACATGAGAGGCGTGTCGGACTTCATGCAAGTCAGGAAGCCTCGCAGGCGGCGACGTTTGTCATCTATGCCTGTGCTACAAGCAAAGAACGATTGAAACAAAGCTTGTATATCTACTGAAAAAGAAGAAATCGTCGATCGCTTACCCAAACCATAAGCGTTGAATCGTGGGAACACCCCAACCGATTTGTTCCGCCTTCACCAACTCAGGAGTCACGTATGGATTATTCTTAGACCAAACCCATTCCTTTATCACAACGTCAGGGACTTCAATTTTTTCACTATCTATTAATACGGAGTAAGAATTAAATTGTCGAACGTAAGAACGAATATCACACATTCTAAAATACTTGCCTCCCTTCTCTTTACTCTTAGCAGCTAAATACATTCTATGATGAAGGTTGAACAGAATCGCGTACACCATTTGTCTAACAGGTCTATAAATAATGTGTATCGACGGAAACTCGCGGTGATTTTCGTCCTCCAGAAGAACGGGCAGCTTGATTTCCCCGGCGATGAGAATTTGGTAAATGTGAGGAGACATCAAGCCCTTCTGGTGTCGTTCGGACGCGGTGCGCATCACTTCCGGTACCGTCGTCGGAATCATCGTGGTCTTTTCCGTCTGCCGCGCCGAGTCCGCGGTCGCGTGCGACGGCGATGTCGCGGAGGAACTGCTGCTCGAGCTCGACGAGCTGATGAGGAGGTTGTGTGTGCCGTTCACGGTATGCCCGTTGCTTTGTTCCTCCTCTTGCCTAGCATTATCGGCGTCACCGTGGCCCTGCATTCCCGGCGGCTCTATTACGATTTGCGGCGCGGACTTCGCATTCGCAGTCGCCTGTTTGTACGCGTTCAAACTTTCCCGTTCGCTCTCCACGGTTTCCGAAGCGAATCTCGACGTTTCCAAATTCGAATCGGCCTCCGACGTCGACGGCGTTTCAGACAGATTCGACTGCTGCTGCACGCTCTGTTTCGAGTCTAATTTATGTACTGAAACGGTCAATAAACGCTAGACAAATCACCTTTACTAGATCAAATGATACTTAAAGTTCAAACAGGTTTTACCTCTGTTCGGTTTCACCGGTTTGTAATGCAGGAACCCGTCCTTAGTTCCGTTAATGTAATACTGAACAGACTGCCTAAGTTTCAAGCAGCCCGGATCGGACGACGAGCCGAAAACCTTCTGGGCGACCACGTCCAACTCGACGGACGGCAGTTCCCGTACGAAGTTCGCGATCGTCTTGATCGTGTGTTCCACGTTCACTTTGTTTATGTTCGTGTTCACGTTGAGCCTCTTGTAAAACTCGGCCAGATCCGCCTCGGTCAAGATATAATTTCCTAGTAACGCGGCCAACAGGCACAGCCTGTCCGCGGGTATGTTCAACGCTTTCAGCAGCTCTGGAAGTATGTACTCCTTGGTGTCTAGCGAACCTTTGTACGTCAATTTTAACTGCTCCGACGAGAAGTACCGCGGCGGATCAAACACCGCGTACTCCGCGTCGTCGGCGACGAGACCGTTGAACGAGTTCTCTCTACAATACGCGATCACTTCTTGATGGTGATCGTCCATACTACAGAGTACTGTAACGTTCAAATGTCGCAGAGCCATTCGTAAACTGGTTCTCAAGCAAACTGGCGGGGTCCACCATATTTTCGGTGGCGGAGTGCCCTTGGTTGTAATATGTTTTAACACCTGCGTATGAAACAATGCAGATGTAGATGATCGTATGTAAAACGAGTTGCGTCTCTGGACTGTTGATACTTACATTATTTACTTTAATCCTCACTTGTAATTGGTTCAAAAACCAATCGTCGAGTCTAGGAGATTCAAAACATCCATTAAAGAATACAGCTAATTCCAAACCAGACATCTCCGTGGCTTGGATGAGGACCGCTAGGAACTGGAGCATTCTGTTCCATTGTCCTCCGCAAGCCCAGTCTATAAGAAGTTGTTGCATCAAATGACTTTTTATGCTTACAGAGAGACAGAGAGAAGAAAGAGCGTAGTCTTACCTGAGAAATAACCTCCGTATAATCTATCTAAGCAGCACTCTCCATCAAGGACTAGTCTGAACTTTCCAGAATGCAGTTGTTGTGCTTTGCCGACTCGATTATGCTGTCTCTGAGTGAATGTACGCGCTATTTTTAACAGATCAACTGGTACAGATCCGCCTTGTACATAATTGCTATCCAGAAAGACTTGCAGATCTTGAATGCCCATTTTGCACAAGATTCCTCGGCGACGTATACTAACTAAACTTCTTTCCTTATCTTAACAGTTAGAACGGCCGTTTCTGACTTAATTCTTTTACTTCGTGGATCGAATAGACAGTTCCCTTAGCTTCCAGATACTTTTAAGATATCAAGAAATCTAATTTCAATTTCAATAATTTCAATCTAGAAAACAAACACACAGGACTTCGGTTACTCGCGTCAACCCTCTCCTCCCGCTGCGCGGTACACTCCGTTCTAAAAATAAATCATTCGAGAGCGACCGGGGAATGCAGATCGGAAAATTCGGTTGACAGATTGCACGCGCGTTGGCCAAGAATTTTCTCCAAAAGAAAAAGAAATAGGAAAGAAACCGCTAACGAAATCGAGAGGAACAGGTGAAACGGCGATACGTCACGGGTTAATATCCGGACGATAGACGAATCCCTGGTGGAGTTCCGACGGATTCACCATCAGGGAGGACTCGAGAGAACGAGATTTCCGATGAACAGAGATCAGAAGTGTGCCGACGCCATTCATTTTGTTTATACGCGAACATCCGCCGTCTCGGTTTTCCATCGGGGTCGATCGATTTCCCGTGGACGATCGACGAGGACGACGGCGGAACGCGACGGCCGACTGACTTTCAGCACAGTTTCTCGACGTTAATCACGCGCGGATCGACCATCGAGACGGTGCCCGCTCTAATAGACCGGCATGGCGAGTACGGCTCGCGGTTACATGGGTTACACACGTACGAATATCTCTCGCGTTTTTCGCGTGAAGAAAAAAACTTACGCGAGGAATTCACGCGGTCTCGCGACCAATCTATCAATGCGAACGACACCACGCGAATTCTCTGCCGAGCGGCTGCGGTCGATCGCGATCGGAAACGGTACGGAGTACTCACGTTAAATTAGCGATAATCATCGTGGCCCCAAAGAAACACAAAACACACGGGCTTTCGGAGTAGATGACGTCGGATTCGAAAACGGAAATGAGCGCTCGGTCGCGCTCGGGTGTCCCCGTATATCGTCTCGGTTACAAGGGAAACGGATCCTTCATTGGCCCGTCCCTTGGGATCGGAAACGTTCGCCGGAAATGAACAACTTGGCATTGTTTTGAAAACCGAGTTGCAAATTGTTCTTCGTTGTTTTTTTTTCCATAACAGTAAAGGAAATTATAATTATTTGCTCGTAAAGTGAAAATACTTATTTCCGATAACGATGAAACAATTCTATCTTTTCTTTTATCGCACGTTTAAAGACCGAAATAAACTTGGCAGTGAACCCTACAGAGTAACGCAGCGATAACGTTGTTTCAATAATCATTTTTTCTTTCATTTAATATTCTTTATACAAATACACTCATTCGCAATTACAAACATGCAATATATATTTTATTATGTTCAGTCAGTAATTCCTCCTTCGCTGTAAATATAGAAAGTGGGGGGGTGGAAGATCAAATGAAATAAATTATGATAAACTCTATTCTAACAAGAATGAAACTTACGATCCTAGTGCGTTACGACAGTGAACTTAATGAGCGAGATAATTATCACATCCTTTGATGCATCACCAACTATAATCGAAAAAAGAAGTCGGAAGGAGAGAAACATTGTGATAGAGCCATCAAAGGATACAATCGATCCTAATCTTCTCTGTACAACAGACCATCTTCCTTCGTAACAATCACCGTTGCATCATTCGATGAATCATCGTATCACCATACCTCGTAGTACAGTGATACGATTATAAATGAAAATAGAGTCTTATACAATTCTCGATTATAATTCCTCGTGTTTATCGTCGTCGTCCTTATCCGCGTCGACGTCTTCGGTGTTCTCGTCCGTTTTCGAGTCCGAGTCTTCCTCCTGTATCTCCTCTTCAGGAACTTCGTCCAGAGAAATGCCCAACGTCTTCTTCATCAGCTGCTCCACGCTGTCTGCAAAGCTCGCGGTTTCCCTGAGCATGTACCCGGACCTGAGCGTCGCCGTCCTGAACATCATGATAGCTATATCTTTCGCTGTTTGATCGGCAGTGTCTAATTCCACTCTTCTCAGAAGCTCTCTCATAAGCGAATGCCTGGGATTAATCTCGAGAGTCTTCTTCTGGTTCAAATAGTATGTCTTCTGCGGGTCGTCGCTCTTCTGATGAGCGTTCGAGATAGCCAGCCTTTCCATGTTGCCCGTCCAACCGAACATACTCGCGACCAGGGCGCAAGGAGAGTCCGTCAAACGTTCTGAGACCTGCGCCTTGCTGATATGATCCTTCAGGACGTCGTTCAGCCACTTGATCAGAGGCTCGAACGTGGTCTTCAGCTGCTCCATCCTCTCCTTGGCCTTCTCGCCCTCGTCCAGCGAGAAACCTTCTTTGGCCACGTTCTGGAACTTCTTACCGTCGAATTCGGGCAGCGCGGAGATCGCGTACTCGTCGACGGCTTCCGTGAGGTAGAGAACTTCGTAATCTTTCTTGTCCAACCTTTCGACGAACGGAGATTTCCTCACTTCGTCCTCGGAGGCGCCAGCAATATAGTAAATGAACTGCTGATTAGGCTTCATTCTTGAAACGTAGTCTGCTAAGGATGTTAGGCTCTTCTGCGTGGACGAGTGGAACATCAAAAGTTTAGACAGTCTTGCTCTGTTCTGTGCATCCTCGATCACACCCAGTTTGATGTTGGTGCTGTATTCCTTCCAGAACTTCTCGTACTCTTCCTTGGGGATCTTCTTGATCATGTCCAGAACTTTTCTGATCAGCTTCTTCTTAATAACTTTAATCAGCTTGTGCTGTTGAAGATTTTCACGCGAGACGTTTAACGGTAGATCGTCACTGTCGACTATACCGCGGATGAATGATAAATAGTTTGGCATCATGTCGGTGAATTTGTCGGTGATGAAGACTCTTCTCACGTACAGTTTGATGTTCTCAGCCTTGGTGCCGTAGCGGTTGAAGCTGTCGCTGGGCTGAACCTTCGGGATGAAGAGAAGAGACTTGAAAGTGACTTCGCCTTCAGCTACGAAGTGGATCTTCGCCAAAGGATCTTGCGTATCTTTCGTCAACGCCTTGTAGAAGTCGTTATAGTCCTTCTCTTCGACCTCCGACGGCTTCAGAGTCCAGATGGGCTTCGAATCGTTCAGCAACTCCCAATCCCAAACGGTTTTGTCTACCTTCTTGGATTTCTTCTCCTCTGCGTCCTCCACCTTCGCCTCCTCGTCATCCTCGTCCACTTTATCTTCTGCTGATTCCTCCTTCTTGCTCTCGTCCTCCTCCTCTTCGTCCACTTGGACTACCTTGCTGCCCCACAAATAAATCGGGAAGTTGATGAACTGCGAGTACTTCTTCACGAGATTCCTGATCGTGTCCTCCTCCAGGAAGTCCAACGCCTCGTCCTTCAATTGCAAACTGACGGTCGTTCCCCTCTTCAATGTGTCGCCTCTTGGATCTTCCACGATGCTGTAGCTGTTGCTGTCGGACGTCCAGATGTACTGTTTGTCGTCGTTGTGCTTCGTAGTAACCACCACCGTGTGAGAAACCAAGAAAGCTGAATAGAAACCAACACCGAATTGACCGATCATATCCTTTAGCTCTTGAGAAGTCGAAGCGTCTTGCATCTTGCCCAGGAACTCGGCCGTTCCTGACTTCGCGATGGTTCCAAGATTGTTGATCAGATCGTTCTTAGTCATACCGATACCAGAATCAGTTATACTGAGTATTTTATTCTCTTTGTCAGACTTTATCCTGATAGCCAACTCAGGATTGGTATCCAAAACGTTCTTGTCGGTAAGGGATAGCAGTCTGATCTTATCCAAAGCATCAGAAGCATTGGATATCAATTCTCTTAAGAAGATATCTTTGTTACGGTACAACGAATTTATGATAAGCTTCATGATACGATTGACCTCAGTCTGGAAAGTGAACTTCTCTGCCTTCTCCCTGAGTTCCTTAATCTCAGCCACGCTCAGCCCATCCAGCTTTATTGCTTCTTCTTCCCTCTTAACCACTTCATCGTCTGAAATGTGAATTACATTTCTATATTTTTTGAACGTGGGCGTTTCAATAAAAAACGAACGGGTATCTATCGTCGTTATCAGGAAGGGCGGTAAATATGCTCGTCTCTTTTTATCGTACATAATTAATCGAAATCGATGATCGGTTGGTTAACAGGAAACGCGTTAGGAAACCGATCTCACCTGTTCGAGATCCTTCGCGGCTGGCACCCAGGTCTTTCTCCACGGTTCCCACATCCTCTTCCACCTGATCCTCGGCTCTAGCGAGTCCTAGACAATAATCGTATTACGTTGACGCTATGCCACGAAACTTACACGCGTGCTGTTCTACTTCTTCGATTTAACCAACTTACCTGCCACGAGACACAGAACCGACAAAAATATTAACGCTTTTCTCATTGCTTTCGTGAACGGTTCACGAGTAACAGCAAGAAAAAAAAAAGCGAAAATACACTCGAAATTCTCGATCTAAACACGCTCACTTCGACTATTTCACGCCGACTGTCATATAATCTAGCGACGCTGCGATATACGACGAGGGTACGAGACCGTGCGGCCAATCGCATGAACCCACGCAATGCTTACTCGGCGACGATGTGCGATGTGCCGGCTACGATTCAGTACAAATGGCTCGCCCCGATTGGCTACAGGATTCAATTTATTCGAGAATATTCTCTTGCAGTTTGCCGGTTTTACAAATAAAAATCCTATTAAAAATTTATGTCTCACGTTTTCTTTAGAATTAATATTGCGTTGGTTTCGCAAATATTCTCATGAAGAGATCAATGACTGCGGTATCAGTGACTGGCAGATGTTAAACAAGAATTCATGGGATGGTAACCAAACACTCGCATCTCTCGTCGATAAAATCGCGGTAAATCCATCGATCATCTCACTTGTTACGTGACAATTGATACCGCCAGCTAAACAATTTACATTCGGAATTTAAACGCACGCGAAATCGTGCATATTTTAACATTGCTGTTTTCTTATCAATTGTATCGATCTAAGGAACATAGATAACTCTCGAGGCCGGAGCAATATCGTCACGGTCGAAACGATCTTAAAAGCAAAATTACTTTCCCTGTAAATGGCCTGCCAATTCGACGCCAGTTGCATACGTGTTGCTCACTGGAGCAGATCCGCATGAACAAACACCGGATGCGATCGTCATTACAAATGTAATTACGCAGGCCTTAAATCCTTGTTTGTCATTCAAATTTTGGTAATCAATTTAAGCATTTCATCTCCTCTCTATCCTGTCCGATTGCTTTTCAAAAGAAACGAATCCTCCACGAGCAATCGAAATAAATGAATTTTTTCAATTGTCTCCTTTTTCTTATTCTAGCAGAGTTATCCTATCGGATGGCTGTTAGAAAGTCAGCAATTACTGAAAATGACTGAGAATCGAGCCAGCTGTATAGAAGGTATCGACAGGAAATTGCTATCAGACTGATCAAGCGTAAATTTTTTCTGTTGTGACTAGCCAGTCGTTATGGATACGTTTTCTGCAATCTATTGCACGGTTGTTTGTACACACCTCGTTTTCATATATGAACGTGTCCCATTCACGTGCGCGATCCGATGTGTGCTGTCATATAGAACGCGCGAGTAATCCCTCGTCTTCACTTGCCTTCCGGTCCTCCTCGGAGGTACCTCGAATTTTTATTTTCCATCAGAGATCACCGGGTCAGCATCCAGAGAACCTGCCGGTTTAAATCCTTTCAGTAGGTCGCGGTGAGTTTACGCTTGATTTCATAAAAAATATAAATAAGTACAGAATACAAAATGTTTTGAAACACTTCGACGTTTATCCGGTTCGTACAACTGTGTTTCCATTTATGTATGAAAGCAGTGATCAAGATCTCTCGCTGGTACTTGAACTGAAAATTAACGGACCTGGTTCTTGCATAATTTCCAGTTTGAGTTTCATTGACTTTCACGCTGACTCGTGTCATCAATATTATAGTCCAATTCTTTTCCCAAGGGGACCGCAATTTTTCGCTCGGTTCTTCTAAATAATTGATTGGACAATTTGATACTCGACGAGACAAGGAACGGTCGATGTTCGATCGCCAAGTGTGAAGTTCATTCTATTATTCTTCCTTCTTAATTAATTAAAGAGACGCCTTTGGGAAATTAAGTTCGTCACGTTAACGAGGCCGCGCCGCAATTCCATTTAAAGGAAAAAATTCGTGCCAACTCCCACTTTTATTTACATTCCCCACCGCGTTCGCTTATCTCTGTCTCTATCCGATTAAGATAATAAACGACAGTCAATGTTCAAATATATAATCGATGCAAAGTGGGCGTCAAGGAGATTCTTTGCAACCATCGGCCACGCACTTAATCCGTTTTTTGTCAAGTATAATTAAACAGTTGAGAACCTAGACACAGGTCTCCTCTCTCTCTCTCTCTCTCTCTCTCTTCAGTACGTGAGTCATAGCCTGAGTCACAAGACTCTGGTTTCTTTCTCAGGGATGTTCTTGAACAGGCCGCAGAGTGCGACCACTAGGCAAGAGATTGAGATGATCAATAAGGCCCAACGGGCCCTCTTCAGCACCACGGATTCCATTGAGAAACTTCGTTTGCTCTGCCTAGCCAGGGGCTGCGGTGGCATCCTTGGCGTGGGTAGGTGAGTCGAATCATTTTATAAACAATTGTGCATCTATTGTATATCCATGTATAACACGACATATGTATATGTCGTTTGACGAAGGGCGTTCCGGCGCATGGACGATGACGGTAATAAGAAGCTGAACTTGGAGGAGTTCACCAGGGGCCTGCAGGAGACTGGCTTCGAGGTGTCAGATGAAGAAGCTCGAGAAATCTTCAACGTCCTGGACACAGACGACGATGGGAATATCAGTGTCGACGAGTTCATCATCGGTTTGAGAGTAAGTTACATAATATTCTAATTATTAAATAACTGGTTTGAATTCGTTGTTCAGCCGCCAATGCCTGAGAGCCGCAAGAGCATAGTGCATCAGGCGTTCAGTAAATTGGATAAAACTGGCGATGGAGTGATCACGATCGATGATTTGAAAGGCGTTTACAATGTTAAACACCATCCGCGTTACATAAGTGGAGAAGAAAGCGAAGAGAGTATCTTTAATAAATTCTTGGCGAATTTTGAGCAAGATGGTATCATCGATGGCAAGGTGAGTACGTATCTGTGGCTTGTTGCAGATAAATGATTAAATCGTTGATTCAGCTGGACACTATTTGACTAATTAAGAATTAAAATTAATTATCTTCATTGGAAGACAATCGAATTAACGATTGAATTTTGATTATAGAATATTACAATCGTCTATTGAGATTTAAAATATTTGCAACCCTGGTTCGTTGATATCGCAGGAAATAACATTAAGCATGTATTGGCTATACAGTCAATCCCAAAAGTTTATGTACCTTAGAAAAACGCATTTCGTATAATTAAAAGTAGTGCATTCTTCTTCTAATTTCAATATTTAATGAGTTACATATGATTATTTGGCATTTTATTGATGTTGACAAA